CAAAACTGTTCGCTGCTCTGGCACCCCAATGGTGGAACAAGCTCCCTCACGACGCCAGGACAGCGGAGTCACTCACCACCTTCCGGAGGCATTTGAAACCCCACCTCTTTAAGGAATACCTGGGATAGGATAAAGGAATCCTTCTACCCCCCCCCCCCCCCCCAAAATTGTAAAGTGGTCATCCCACTGGCTATAGGGTGAACGCACCAATTGGTGAGTCGCTCTGGATAAGAGCGTCTGCTAAATGACGTAAATGTGCCCTTGAGCAAGGCACTTAACCCTAATTGCTCCTGTAAGTCGCTCTGGATAAGAGCGTCTGCTAAATGACTAAAATGTAAATGTAAATGTAACTGTAAAATTAATGTATATAGTGCCTTGCAAAAGTATTCATCCCCCTTGCCGTTTTTCCTATTTTGTTGCATTACAACCTGTAATTTAAATGGATTTTTATTTGGATTTCATGTAATGGACAAATTGGTGAAGTGAAATGAAAAAAATAACTTGTTTCAAAAAAGTATAAAAAATAAATAACGGAAAAATGGTGTGTGCATATGTATTCAGCCCCTTTGCTATAAAGCCCCTAAATAAGATCTGGTGCAACCAATTACCTTCAGAAGTCACATAATTAGTTAAATAAAGTCCACATGTATGCAATCTAAGTGTCACATCATCTGTCACATGATCTCAGTATTATATATACCTGTTCTGAAAGGCCCCAGAGTCTGCAACACCACTAAGCAATGGGCACCACCAAGCAAGTGGCACCATGAAGACCAAGGAGCTCTCCAAACAGGTCAGGGACAAAGTTGTGGAGAAGTACAGATCAGGGTTGGGTTATAAAAAAATATCTGAAACTTTGAACATCACACGGAGCACCATTAAATCCATTATTTAAAAATGGAAAGAATATGGCACCACAACGAACCTGCCAAGAGAGGGCCACCCACCAAACCTCACGGACCAGGCAAGGAGGGCATTAATCAGAGAGGCAACAAAGACACCAAAGATAACCCTGAAGGAGCTGCAAAGCTCCACAGCGGAGATTGGAGTATCTGTCCATAGGACCACTTTAAGACGTACACTCCACAGAGCTGGGCTTTACGGAAGAGTGGCCAGAAAAAAGCCATTGCTTAAAGAAAAAAATAAGCAAACACGTTTGGTGTTCACCAAAAGGCATGTGGGAGACTCCCCAAACATATGGAAGAAGGTGCTCTGGTCAGATGAGACTAAAATTGAGCTTTTTGGCCATCAAGGAAAACACTATGTCTGGCGCAAACCCAACAACTCTCATCACCCCGAGAACACCATCCCCACAGTGAAGCATGGTGGTGGCAGCATCATGCTGCAGGGATGGTTTTTCATCGGCAGGGACTGGGAAACTGGTCAGAATTGAAGGAATGATGGATGGCGCTAAATACAGGGAAATTCTTGAGGGAAACCTATTTTAGTCTTCTAGAGAATTGAGACAGGGACGGAGGTTCACCTTCCAGCAGGACAACGACCCTAAGCATACTGCTAAAGCAACACTCGAGGGGTTTAAGGGGAAACATTTAAATGTCTTGGAATGGCCTAGTCAAAGCCCAGACCTCAATCCAATTGAGAATCTGTGGTATGACTTAAAGATTGCTGTACACCAGCGGAACCCATCCAACTTGAAGGAGCTGGAGCAGTTTTGCCTTGAAGAATGGGCAAAAATCCCAGTGGCTAGATGTGCCAAGCTTATAGAGACATACCCCAAGAGACTTGCAGCTGTAATTGCTGCAAAAGGCGGCTCTACAAAGTATTGACTTTTGGGTGGGGGTGAATAGTTATGCACGCACAAGTTTTGTTTTTTTGTCTTATTTCTTGTTTGTTTCACAATAAAAAATACTTTACATCTTCAAAGTGGTAGGCGTATTGTGTAAATCAAATGATACAAACCCCCCAAAAATCAATTTTAATTCCAGGTTGTAAGGCAACAAAATAGGAAAAATGCCAAGGGGGGTGAATACTTTCGCAAGCCACTGTAAATCCATAAATGGATGTAGCAACTGCAGATTGGCCCTTTAAGTTACTTTAGCTTTCCCAATATACATGTTCTGTACTGGGCACTGCAACCCTTGTTGTTGGCAATGCTTGCCATGGCCCATGATGTGTTCAACAGTCAAAGGCACCGTCCCACTTCTGAGTGCCTTTTGGATCCCTTTGAAGCGCTATATGGTTGGAGAGATAACCGGGCACCTGCTTTTAAGCATGGCGTATCTCTATACCACTGTTTGTAAACAAAACCTCTTGAAGTATGATGGTGTAGGATGAGGGCTGTGGGAGGAATATAGGGGTGGCTGCAGAGTCACCAACATTAATCAGGCACCCATCAGACAGCCAGTGCTACAGCCCTGACAGTAGTACCATGGTTCTGTACCTTCTGAGTGGATTATACTAGTGTAGTCAACCTCTCAGTGGAAATCAAGACAGGTTTCATGAGAGAGAAAGATCAAAGGTCAAGCAGGGGTCAGGGAGGCCTAAAGTAAAAGTTTGCCATGTTTGGGTGAAGAGTAAAAATGTCATGCAGGTGTGTATTATATGGGTTGGAATCCACGTTCTAGAATGTTCACTAATGAGGGTAATTGTATTATTATTAGCTACCACCACCACCAACACCACCACTACTACTATTTGTAGTACATGTACTTGAATACAAATCGTTGATAGTGGTGAAAGTTATGTTGATATGATGATGATTATATGGTGAGGGTGAAAAAGCAGAACAATTTCACTTGTTTTTCATCCAGTGTGAATGTGAGTTTAAACACAGCTTGAGTCAAAGCTTTAAAGAAAATACTGACTACTATCCAAGTTGTACCCTACAGAAACCATCTAAAACTGGACAGTGAAATACAGTTACACACCCCTCAGAGCCTGGTTCCTCTCTAGGTTTCTTCCTAGGTTCCTGCCTTTCCAGAGAGTTTTTCCTAGTCACTATTTGGGGTTTTAGGCAGGGTTTCTATATATCACTTTGTGACATCTGCTGATGTAAAAAGGGCTTTATAAATACATTTGATTGATTGATTGACCACTCATTAGAAGAAAGCACTATAACAACAGTATGTAGGTCCACAATTTGGTATCAGGTTACCAAGTTAGGGCTCTATTCAATCTGCATCGCGGAAGTTCAGCTTTACAGTGTGATTGAAATTTAAAGGCAATGTTCCCGCTTTAGCGGAGACTGCATTCACGGTAAACGCTGCATATGTCCACTCAATTGGAAATTACCTTTAAATGTCTATTGTGGAATCTGTAATGCTTCAGCGTTACAGATTTAATAGAGCCACTAGTTCATTTTTTGAGAAGTGCTAGAAAGTATCCATTGTCACAATTTCCTTGTAAATACTGAACTAAACAACTACAAGTTGAAACAGGACTGTGAAATAAAGCCAGGACCCATGTTTTTGTTAGTCATACAGTCATACAGAGGGGAATCCTATTGTAAATTAGATGTATGGATGTACCTCTCAGCTAAATAAGTTAGGTTTGATGAATCACTCAAATCTCAATGAGCTAATCTTGTTTTGTGTTGTACTGCAGTACATTAATTGTGTAAGTATGGCCTACAAATAATACCATGCACTGTACCATGCACTGTAATATCGTCTATGATTGTAATATACTATAATCAGCCAAGTCTATAATCTTGAAGAGAAGAAATAGGCTAACAGTCTGTACCTATTGTCCTGGCTATCCAGTCTCATGAGCTCTACATTACATTTCAACGTTTTTACAAACATGTTGTATATGAACGTTTTTGCTGTCAAAACGTTGCGTATTAGGTGTAGCCGGCCTACACACCCAGCTTAATTATATAGATGAGGCTACATCTCTGTAGAATTAAGCCAATACAAGGCGATTATGTCTCCTGTCAGCACACAGGGATCACACAAATGGAGAAACTGATTCATGGCTCGAACCACCTCTGTCCTTTTAGAATAATAGAGAGTCATTTGTTTATCTAGACGGGACATCAGAGGAAAACTCCCCGGCGGAGTCAGAGTGTTGAGCTTCGAAATGGAGCGGCGCCGCTTCCCCGCTGAACCGGCCGTGAGGAGAGATACTGTCAGCGTCAGGTATTACCGGCATTCTCGAAGAGGGGGAGAAAAACTAATCTCTTTTCCCTCTATCTTTCTCTTTCTCTCTCATCCTACCCCAGAATGGAGGGAAATACTTGTCAGGGTGCCTCTGAACCACAAGATTAAAAGCGACCCGATGACAAACCTGACAATTAATTGCCCAACTTCATCCCTTTTGACACGAGTACATCCTTTTCTGAGTGAGTGAGTGTGTGTGTGTGTGGGGTGGCAAGGAGCCTATGTTTTTGACTTATGTTCCTCATCCCCCCCCAGTATTTTAAGACAGTCGATAACAGTGTAATGACTTTGTTTAAACTGCAAGGTCTTTCAAAGGGCTGGAAGTGAATTTGACCAAAACAAAGGCAACATCCATAACCACAGCATCAGAATGTGTCAAATCTATGGTGGGAGCTCATTGAACTTTAATGTCACATAACAATGTTCACTAACTATACAGTTTAAGACTGCATTTACAGTTGCACTGTACCACAAGCATTTTCATGATACTTTGTTGGCCATTCCCAGTCTATAGAACATTTATTTCAGTGCCATAGGAATATGATGTGATATTGTAACACAGACAAAATACCTTAAGAATACATATTATTCATATTCTACAAACACAATAATCTGTTTATTTTTATTTTTATCCAATGGCAATAATAACTACTTTTTTGATTTTCCTTATGCATTAAATGGGGAAATGTTGGGAACATCCTTGAAGAGTCTAGACTCAATGTAGTGTCATAACTAGCATTCCAACACCTCAAATATATAAATAACAATAGAGCTTTACAAACCTGATAAAAGGTGGCAGAAAGTCTGTTCCAAGCGTTCTTTCTGATCATTTGCATAACTATCAAATCACAGTCTTTGTTTTGGTGGCTTCCTCTTCCATCAGTAGTCTCCTCCGTCATATCTAAATGGATGAGAAACCCTGTCAGGATAGCTGTTGGACGCGTAGTTGCCGTAACGGTAAGTGTCAAAGTTCTCAGCCCTCTCGATTTTGGCTGGCAGGGTTTCCGGCTGGTACGACAGTGCCGACTTGATGACCCCGGAATCTTCAGGAATCTTGAGATCGGAGTAAGAGGTGGGCGAGGTGTCCTCGAGCAGGGAGCTGCAGCTGGGCAGGCCCTTGACGTCGTAGATGTTGTCGCCGTACTTGACCACGGAGGGCTTGGGGCAAGGCTGGTAGGACACTTTGGTGGTGGTGGTGATGATGGTCTGCAGGGCAGCGGGCGTGGCTGGCGCTGGGACAGGGTACCTGCACGGGTACTCACTGTTGTAGTAGTGGTGGTTGGTGTTGCCAGGATACTGTCCGTACTCGCCCCGCTCGCTGTACGTCCCCTTGCCCAAGATCTGTTTCCAGCCGTGGTGCTTGCTGGTCGTGTCGTAGCTGTTGCGGTCGTGGCCCGAGAGGGCACCGGTGGTGTGGGGTGTGGCAGTGCTGGTACCCAGACCTGAGCTCACCTTGCTGGGCTCAGGGGCCTCTGCCTGGGGGCTACTGGGGTCCTTATAGAGGGCCGTGTAGGAGCCCGAGCCTAAATAGCTCGGCACGGCAAAGTCGTAGCCACATGGAGGCCGGGGCATGTACAGACGGTGGTTGGCCTGCTTCTGGAGTGTGGATGGGGCCTCGCCCATGTTGGCGTGGGAGTCGTAGGCAAACTTGTAGGGCTCAGGGTTCTGGAAGGGCGGGTAGTGCTGGGTCTGGATGGGGAAGTTGGACTCAGCAATGATGCTAAAACGGTCCGGGCCCTCCATGCAGGACAGCTGGTGCAGGTTGGGGAAAGGAGCGCCCAGGTCGTGGTATCTCCCGGTCTGAAGAAGAAACAGTACATATTAGTGATAGGCTAGGCAAAGAAAGTCCACTGCATCTACCAATGGAATAAATGGCATGTGGGTATTTTGTGAGTATTTTACTTTTCAATCACATTGTATGTGCAAAGAAGGGCTTTTACAGTATTAGAAGTGCAGGTCATAAAGCGCTTACTGTATCTGCCACCCAAACTAAACCACCACAACGAGAAAGCAAAGGCAACAGTGGCAAGGAAAAAACTTTGAGAGGAACCATCCACCTCTGGCTGAGCAGGTAAAGATTCAGAGTACACTGAACAAAAATATAAATGCAACATGTAAAGTGTTGGTCCCATGTTTCATGAGCTGAAATAAAAGATCCCAGAAATTTTCCTAAAGCAAAAAAGCTTATTTATCTCAAATTTTGCGCACAAATTTGTTTAAATCCCTGTTAGGGAGTATTTATCCTTTGCCAAGATAATCCATCCACCTGACAGGTGTGGCATATCAAGAAGCTGATTAAACAGCATGATCATTACACAGGTGCACCTTGTCCTGGGGACAATAAAGGCCACTCTGAAATGTGCAGTTTTGTCACACAACACAATGCCACAGATGTCTCAAGTTTTGAGGGGGCATGCAATTGGCTTGCTGACTGCAGGAATGCCCACCAGAGCTGTTGCTAGATAATTGAATGTTCAATTCTCTACCATAAGCCGCATCCAATGTCGTTTTAGAGAATTTGGCAGTACGTCCAACCGGCCTCATAACCGCAGACTACGTGTATGGCGTCGTGTAGGCGAGCGGTTTGCTGATGTCAACGTTGTGAACAGAGTGCCTCATGGTGGCAGTGGGGTAATGTTATGGGCATGCATAAGCTACGGACAATGAACACAATTGCATTTTATCGATGGCAATTTAAATGCACAAAAATACAGTGAAGAGATCCTGAGGCCCATTGTGAGGCCCTTTTTTTTAAGGTATCTGTGACCAACAGATATATATCTGTATTCCCAGTCATGTGAAATCCATAGATCAGGGCCTAAGGAATTTATTTCAATTGACTGATTTCCTCATATGAACTGTGACTCAGTAAAATCAATGAAATTGTTGCTTGTTGCGTTTGTATTTTTGTTCAGTATAGATATATGACTATTGAGGTCAAAGTTTCTTACATCTGGCTCCATCAACCTCCTCTTCTGGGAGAAGTGTGGAGAAGACATCCTCCTCTTCACTGCACTCCTCCGGACCTCCGTCTCAGACTTACTCTCTGGTCTGGGGTGGTCATGGACTCCCTTAGCCTGCAATCACATCAATACATACTAGGATGTTACTTTCTTGAAATGAGAAACATCTTTGGTCACATTTAGGATTACTCTTAACTAAATAAATTGTAATATCTGTGTGGGAATGTTTTGCACAGAAGCTCATAACCAAAAATGGTTTGTTTGTTTTTTACTTTAATTAACTAATGTCTTTAGATTTCACTAACAAAAAATCCAATCCATGAAGGCATGCTAAATTATAATTTATTGCCTAATATCACAAAATAGAAATATTAAAAACTCAACACTTAAGTTTACAGTACTTGAAGGTCTGCTTATAAACAGCTAATAAACATACATTGTTAAGTAAATACATGTATAAGATCTGCTGTACTGTACATTACATTACTGTACATTCATTATTGTATGAACAATTGTATTGTATTAACAATTGATATGCAATGATTAACAAACAGTTTATTAATGGTGACAGACTATTAAACAATGCTTAACTGTTAATAGGGAGACCTGCAAACATGTTACCTCTCAATTCAGAATATTAGCCCACAAACCTGGAAGAATATAGCTTTTCCATCTATTCTCCAGAAGTTGGTGACGGGATAGCCACTGTGTCCTCTGCATGGCATCAGCTCCAGGGCAGAGTTACAGCTGGGGCACAGCTTCTCTGGAGAACAACCACCAATACACACAACCACACAGTTTTAAACAAAGCCATGTTGGCTAATAGTATAGAAGTGATTTTGTATTCAAGTATTGTAAGTTTATTTATGAAATATTATACTGTGCTGGATGTGAGGAGAAGAATAGGCTATTATGTGGAGAGTGGTTAAAAGTGAATACTGATTAATACATTTTTTACACAAAAAAAAAAACACATTTACTATGAGGGCTATTATTTTTAATTATTTATATATATATTTTTTTTTTGTCAGACCAACAATATCTGAAATTGTTTAATAAGAAGGTGTTCTGAATATAAAGCTTTGAGTTTATTATTTTATTATAATTTTGTTATGTACACTTTTTACAAAGTAAATACACTTTTTACAAAGTAAATACTATGCCGTTTTTCATACATCTTGGATGCTCTTGTAGGCTATTCTCACGGGTTGAGTATCTATCTACAGGGTATGATGATGAAGCACAATGTGTCGCATTTCTATAGTGTATCAAGGTCATGACGATGCTGAATCAATGAGTCAGATGTACCAAGTGTTACCAGGTGTTAAGTTTAATTCTCAAAAACAGTCTACAATATCGACAGGCCCAATAATTAGGCTACCATTATGAATAATTTAACTGAGCTCACTAAGCTTTGATAATAATTACATTGTTTATTTAGACATTAGGCAATTACTTGATTCAACATAAACAACTGCATTAATGTCTTCCTTCTTTTTCCCGATGAGACGCGTCGGCAAGTGTACACCATGCATGACAGCTGTGCATAATGCGTTTACTCACTTTGTTGTTTTTGTCGTGCTTTGTCGCAGATAGCCGGTCGGAGCTGGAGTTTGCTTCCGTCAGCCAGGGTGCAGTTTCGGCCACAGACTACGACGCCCAGGCAGGACTTCTTGAGAATCTGACAGTTGTGGTTGTTGGTGTTCCGCATGGCCCATCCGCTCAGGTGCCGCTGTGCGTTCTTATCCTCGCCGGTGTAGATGTAACGAACATACCCATCCGTCCACTCCTGGAAAGCGTCATACTGCTTTGTGTCCTGTCAGAATTACGGAAAAATATAGATTTTGATAGATTCATTATTTAAGTGCTTTCTATTAAAATTGATAATAAGGTTAAAACGAAAACTACAGGCCAATGAATAGAATATTCCTGAGATATGCACACAAACTGCAAATTAATATATGTTATTTGATATCTGAGCAATGAAAGCGTAGGCTATAAGGCAAATCATGACAATATGCGTGACAACTAATTATCATTAACTCTGCATATCTTTACAAATTGAAACTGATTTATTCAATTCAACCGTGACCTAATTTTATTTCATAGGCTATCAAATGCTATATAATTTGGTATTTTAAATAGCTGTCATTGAATATATTCTAAATAATAGCGTCAACTGGCGTATGCAAAACGTTTACATTAGCCTACCAGAGGCAGCTTTGGGTCGTTGATATCCCACGTTAACTTCATACCAAAGGAAGAAACACAGTCGGGGTCTTCAAACTGATCCGAGGACTTTGACATCTTGTTAGAATCTCACAATTTTACGCGTTTTGAACTTGACTCATAGCAGGACCCACCAATACAGGTACCGTCCCGTAGCCGCGCACCATACGAAATCACTTTCTTTGTCAAAATTAAAGCATATGACAGACAACGCTAAAAATGATAATAATTAGAGAATATATGTCCAGAAGTACATGATCTTCATCCGATTTTCTCTGTCTTTTCTCGGTGTTAATCCAAAATTCCCTTGTGTCCTGGGGAGTGTGTCACGCGATGCCACGGGAGTAGCAAGGTGAATGACTACAGGTAAGGTCTGTCTCGTCTATGTAAAGGAGGAGGCAGGACTAGGAGATCTGTCTAGCTTCAGTTCTGTTGAGGCTGAGCGCTGTGCACTTTCAGTTCACCTGATCCGTGGCACTGACCTCCACTTACTGCGTGTCCGTTTCCCCGAGCATTTCTTTCTAGCACTGTGCATGTATGAAACATCAAAAACTATTAGGCTATTATACTGTGTCTATGTTGATCTTGAACACACACAGACGTCATGAAAGTACCACAGGCCGCCCACAAACGATGGGAATAGGCCTAGGCTGTTTCTGTAGGTCTATCTGTGATTATTATCTGTGGTGTAAATTTCAAACCTGTTGGATAGGATTAAGTCCTCTGAGCTCTTAAATCAGCAAAAAATATATGTGAATAATCTGAATGTGAAATAGCCACATTCAACGGTTACACAAGTAACCTACATTGACAGGTGTCAACAAGTGATCTATCTGAGATCATTAGGAGTTGTTGTATGTAAACCTAAAGCCACACTGACGTGTAAACATCAAAACAGCTGGGGCTGCACATTAACAACAAACAAAGCATCAATCATGCGGCATTGTTAACGAATGTCATGTTTTATAGATTTTTGTAGGCTACACCCATGTCTTTACCTATCGTTTTATTGTGGAATGTTATTCACTTTTCTTTCAAAACATAGGCTACTGTATACGGTTATATGCACTTTCTTAGATTATTATTTTCCTTCAAGTGAAATTAAAATATATTGCTGTCAATTAGGCTATTAATTGAACGAATTACCAGAAGGCCTAAATAGAACCACTGGCATAGCAGTTTTAGGCTATTTATTTATTTGTTTGTTTGTTTGTTTAGGGTTGCCCCTGTGGTCCTCTGTAGCTCAATTGGTAGAGCATGGCGCTTGTAACGCCAGGGTAGTGGGTTCGATCTCCGGGACCACCCATACGTAAAAATATATGCATGACACATGACTGTAAGTCGCTTTGGATAAAAGCGTCTGCTAAATGGCATATTATTATTATTATAGGTAAAACTGGCCTAAATGGATATTAACTGAAAAATGATCTTATGTAGTTTCTCGCAATAGCCCTCTGTGACTTTAAGGAATATTTATCTCAAAACTGTGATTCCTAAAAGATGTGTCTGGATTTGGTCAACTGTCAGATTTGTCTAAAGTCCAAAATTAATCAGTAATGAGTAGGGTCAGCTATACCATAAAGACCCCTTATTCATGTCCTCATTACATGTATCGCAACAAGACCACTCTGTAAAGTTCTCTACTGTTGATAGATTTAACAAATAATATTGGAATCAGCATGGTCACAACCAGAAACTGTCAACTCCATCTGCCTGATAGGTTAAACTAGAATATGAATTTTGGTTCAAATATGTTACATTTAATTAGATTTTAGCGTCATAAAGCAACTGAGGAAAAACAAAATTGCTACTGCGTATACAACTTGAATGAAGTACAAACATTTAATTTGTCAACTCAGTAAGACAAACTCAGTCACAATGCTGAAAGATCGGTTATGTTTTTATTGGGGATTTTCATATGAATAATTTTTACCACTAACTGTGAAAGTCCCATTTTAATATATAAAAATTCGAATGTTTGTTTTGGCCATTGTGTATCCTCCTTATGTAAATAAGATCGAATGGCTCCTCACAAAAAAAACGAATGTTTTTTCCGCCAAAAAAAGTCTTCAAACACAATAATGAATTCAAATTGCTGTTATCAAGAAAACTTTCACTTAGTTTAGTTTGAATTAACCCGTAACGAAAAGGAATGAGATTACTACAGTGTGTATATATTTGGACAGATTATGGTCCTTCATGAGCGTCTTTTCTAGCGTTAGTTCACTAATTAGATTCACCTGTGGCAAAATTGTCCCTATAGCTACACTCGCACACCGCTAATTATGAGCGTAAGTTTGTTTATTTTTTAACAATGAAATGTAATCGTATCTTCAATAATTATAGACTAGCTGCCGAAAAACTGGTAATATTATCGTAAAATATCAAAATGTATTTAGATTAGCCTATGGGTTTAATTAAACACCTTAGTGAATAGGACCCCATTGAAGAGATCAGCGGTGTAAAGTTAACTACAGTATAGGCCTATCCATTACATATATCAAAACCATGCGTCTTTTTCACATTTTCTATCAGTTCGAAATAATTTTGGAGGATGCTTTCATCAGCAATAATGTTGGAGCCATCACAGTAGCACTTCTGAGGGAGAAAGCCTCCAAGTCGTTGGTTAACAGATTGAACAAAGTCGCTAACAAGGTAGGCTATTTTCTCACATCCACATATTCGTCAAATTACATTTTTGTGGGTATGAAATTCCTGCTTGAAGTAGCCTATTTATTTATAACAAATTATCAGTAAAACCTTACCAAAGCACATTTGTTCCACAATAAACGTGCTGAACAGTTTTGTTAGAATTGTAAACATTTTCTCTCCCCATTTCTCCTCTGTGGATTGCAGGAACTTGACAGAAGTGTGTTCAAAAGTGTCACTTTGCTTTTGAGAGGCATTGAAGATGTATGCCAGAGTGATGAAGACTGCTTTAACTGCCTGGCCAGGCAAGGTCTCATTTACAAGATAAGTATCTAACCAAGCAAAAAATATTTTTAAAATCTCCAAAGATTTATTTAACATTCATAAATGTCATCTATCGGGTTCTGATGTGTCTATTTGACTGTGTGTTTGTTCATTTCCACATGTTGACGTGGTTTGAAAGAGCTGTAGACTTTCTGAAAATGGAGGAATACAAAGGCGTGAAGGACCTGCTCAGCCTTATTGAGGCCTTCTTTGATTTTTTCCTGGTAAGGTGTGAGTTGGCCAAATTCTAAATCAACCCCTGGCCCTACCCCCTAGGCACTCCTGTAGAACATCCTGTAAAACCTTACCATGTAGATCTTACCAATATGTTAATTAATTCACCTTGCCTTATGATAGGCTGGGTGGGTTGTTTGCCATGTTGCTTTCCTATCTAGGTTTGCAAAATTCCAAACTTTCTCAAAATTCCCTGGTTTTCCAGAAATCCTGGTTTGAAGATTCCTGGAATAAACTGGAAATCCGGGCATCCTCCAACCGGGAATTCTGGAAAACCTGGGAATTTTCGAAAAGTTACAGGAACCGTATCTGTATCAAATCATTTCAGATCTACAGAAGTGTCTAGGGCAGGGCTCTCTAACCCTGTTCCTGGAGAGCTACCGTCCTGTAGGTTTTCGCTCCAACCCTAATCTAGCGCACCTGATTCTAATAATTAGCTGATTGATAACCTGAATTAGGTTAGTTACAACTGGAGTTGGAGTGGAAAACCTACAGGAGACTTCTCTCCAAGAACAGTGGTGGAGAGCTCTGGTCTAGGGTCGATTTGGAATTCAGAATACATTTCCAATGTTATCCACTACATCAGCCAACTAAATACTAATGTTTTTTCACCTCATTTTTCAGCGTTTGCCGCCTTCTGTGGAAGGTGAACTATTTCCATAATTTTGATCATTCCACAATTTCCATCAATTGTTTTGTTTTATGCTGGTAGCTACAGTAATGCTGTTTATTTTTTTGGGGGGGGGGAAGACAGAGGTCAGCTCACCAGCGTCTTCCTGCTGCATGTTGGAGTGGTTGGGACCGACCCAGACGTCACGTTTGGTCTGAGATTAGAGGTAAGGCTGTACAGTCATTGAGAGATATGTTGTTGGCTCAGAAGGTTAGGAAGAAAGCCATTTTGTTCACTAAAAAGGGAGACTGTCTAATAGGAAAGCAGGAAAAACTTTTTTTTATAGTGTGTTCATCAATGTGGTACATTTGATGATCCTTAATAAAGAATGGAATATATTTTTCTAAACATTAACACCCTGCATGCAATTCTATTGGATGTTACATTGTTCTTGTCTCCAAAATTATAAAACGAATACTTCACTATTTTATTTTTATCCATTCAGGCTATAAGAACGATTAACTCGATCCTCGACAATACCACAAAAGAAGAGAGGAGGAAACTAAGCCTGTCCAAAGAACATTGTCTACTCCTGTACGTTTTCAGTCATGACAGATTCCTGTAAATACGAGAACATGGAGAGGAGGCCTTTCCAACATTGAATATGGTGTCTGAGAATGCATTGCCCCCTAGTGGATAGATGTAGTCTACACGGCATTTGTATTTTCTTTAGCAGGATTGTGTTCGTTAGGCACCAAGCAGAAGAACAGGGAGTGACAGTGACTACATGGACTTCTCCCATAAGAAATGCTCAATTTCGTTTACCGTTGCAAAACGCTTAAATGTTTCCCATTGCATGCACCAACTAACATGACCCAGTTAATTATGACCCAATTACCACATTGACTAAGGATCTGTATTCTCCAACCTTGTGTCGATGCAGATCACAGGTTTAATCTCCCTCCTTTCATTTAGTGTTCACGTCAGCATTTACCAATAGTCATGATCACTCGCACATCCTCAGAATTGTAACGCAGTTTGACGTTTTTTTTCCTCCAGTGAGCAATTTGCAAAAGTCATTCTCAACGTGGGTGGTGAGTGACACTGTTTTCAGTTGTTTTTTATGGCATGCAATTCACTGTATGGAAAATGCATAGTTGTCTGTGAATGTGACTTGGGTAGTGGTTTTGTTCAGACTATGAGATGCAGGTGGCCCTATCAGAAGCACTCTGTCGAATGACCGTAAAGAGGTCCAGGAAAGAGCTGGCAAACAAGTGGTTTGCCAACCCAGCTTTTGCAGAGGGCTTCAACGCAATAAACGATAGAGAATTTGAGATAGTACGTTTCTCTAAGTCTGCGTTCTTCACTTACCCATAAATAAATTAATTGTTGATAGTGGTATTCAAAAATTCATGTTATTTGGGGTAAAACATGCATGCATGTCTTAACTGTCAAGAAAGGCTAGCCTTAATTTTTTCTGTTGCAAAATAGGACTGCAGAACTTTTCTCAATGATGTGAACATCTATTTTGGAGATGAAAGAAGGCAAGTCCACACTATTTTCTCTACATTTCAAACACCCACCTCATGATTCTCAAATGAAAATCACATTTCAAATTATTTAAATAGAGAATCTTTGTGTAAAGAATAAATGGCATCAAACACAACAGTTTCACATGGTAAGATAATGGCCTGTCTCTCATAGGGTTTTCAGCTTCCCCTGCATCAGTGTGTTTCTAAACACCACTGAGGTAAGCACAGCAATAGTCCCTGGATAACTGCTCCAAAGTCATAAGGGGACATGGATGACACTCCAGATAATATAAAGATAAATGTGTGGCAGTTATGACTCATAAATGTGTCCTATTTGAAGCTAACTGTCTCATGTCATGCATGGGTACCTCTAATTGGGTCTTATATTCCCCTCAGCCAATGATGTGTGTAACACTTACAAATTACTGTCTTTGTCTTCAGCTGTTCATGCCAGAGGACGAGAAACTAGAACATTTCTGGGTTGACTTCAACCTGGGAACGTCCTGCATCAGCCTCTTTGTCAACGACCCTGAGGTGAGACTGACCAGACCACACACACCAGTGTATGTCAGCGCTAAATTAATGTCAGTAGTGTTTACTTTAATGGGTCACTCCTTGATTTACAATGTCCTAAATGAGGCTTTTAAGTTTGTGTTTTCCCCCTTTGCCATGTCCTCTGGTGCTACAGGGTTCACTGTGGGAATCAATTCACTTGATAAGAGCGGACGTCTTTAGGTTCAGTGTGTGTGGTGAGTGGAGAATGCCTCTTGCATCATTACCCCTTCAGTTTGATGCTTAAATAAGGATATGGCACTTTTACTTTATTTGAGAAGTAACTAGCTACATTAATTTATGTTTACTGTGATTCTCCCTCCAGACTGTGATGATCAGACCATTCTGACTGTTCACCTGTCCAACCCCATCACCCATCGCATGACCAAGGGAAAGATTGTCCAGATCATATTCGATTCCAAGCATGACATCCTGGACGCTGCCCAGAGAGTCTTTGAAAGCAAACGACTACTGGTAACCCCTAACGTGACAGTTGAATTATGAGGACATGAGAAGCCCATTGTTATGTTATGAAAGTAGGCTACGCCCTATTCTTCCTTTTCCCCCAGCAAAGTGTACCTTCAGCTGACCAGCCATCGATACAACACGTCATGGAACCCTTCCATTCAGATATGTTCAGTTCTTTAATCACATAGACTGTGATCTGGTCTGATACAGCACATAGGTTAACTATATTAATTTCCACTTTAAAGGGACGCTTCGGGATTTTGGCAGTATCTGTTAACATATACCCATACACTTCCAGTCAGTAGTTAGCTTTGGCTCGAGAAACTACCTTGAACTTCCTTCATACTGGACACAGAGACATAAAAATGGTGTCCATGAGTTCATCTGAGGAAGTACAGTCGTGGTCAAAAGTTTTGAATGACACATATTAATTTTCACGAAGTCTGTTGTCTCAGTTTTTATGATGGCAATTTGCATATACTCCAGAATGTTATGAAGAGTGATCAGATTAATTGCAAAGTCCCTCTTTGCCATGAAAATGAACTTAATCCCAAAAAAACATTTCCACTGCATTTCAGCCCTGCCACAAAAGGACAAGCTGACATCATGTTAGTGTTGACGAGGACAAGGCTGGAGATCACTCTGTCATGCTGATTGAGTTAGAATAACAGACTGGAAGCTTTAAAAGGAGGGTGGTGCTTGAAATCATTGTTCTTCCTCTGTTAACCATGGTTACCTGCAAGGAAACACGTGCCATCATCATTGCTTTGTACAAAAAGGGCTTCACATGCAAGGATATTGCTGCTAGTAAGAGTGCACCTAAATCAACCATTTATCGGATCATCAATAACTTCAAGGAAAGTGGTTAAATTGTTGTGAAGAAGGCTTCAGGGTGCCCAAGAAAGTCCAGCAAGCGCCAGGACCGTCTCCTAAAGTTGATTCAGCTGCGGGATCGGGGCACCACCAGTGCAGCGCTTGCTCAGGAATGGCTGCACGCACAGTGAGGCGAATACTTTTGGAGGATGGCCTGGTGTCAAGAAGGGCAGCGAGGAAGCCACTTCTCTCCAGGAAATACATCAGGGACAGACTGATATTCTACATGAGGTACAGGGATTGGACTGCTGAGGACTGGGGTAAAGTCATTTTCTCTGATGAATTCCCTTTCCGATTGTTTGGGGCATCCGGAAAAAAGCTTGTCCGGAGAAGAAAAGGTGAGCACTACCATCAGTCCTGTGTCATGCCAACAGTAAAGCATCCTGAGACCGTTCATGTGTGGGGTTGCTTCTCAGCCAAGGGAGTGGGCTCACTCACAATTTTGCCTAAGAACACAGCCATGAATAAAGAATGGTACCAACACATCCTCCGAGAGCAACTTCTCCCAACCATCCAAGAACAGTTTGGTGACGAACAATGCCTTTTCCAGCATGATGGAGCACCTTGCCATAAGGCAAAAGTGATAACTAAGTGGCTCGGGGAACAAAACATCGACATTTTGGGTCCATGGCCAGGAAACTCCCCAGACCTTAATCCCATTGAGAACTTGTGGTCACTCCTCAAGAGGCGGGTGGACAAATAAAACCCCACAAATTCTGACAAACTCCATGCATTGATTATGCAAGAATGGGCTGCCATCAGTCAAGATGAGGCCCAGAAGTTAATTGACAGCATGCCAGGGCGGATTGCAGAGGTCTTGAAAAAGAAGGGTCAACACTGCAAATATTGACTCTTTGCATAAACGTAATGTAATTGTCAATAAAAGCCTTTGACACTTATGGAATGCTTGTAATTATACTTCAGTATACCGTAGTAACATCTGACAAAAATATCTAAAAACACTGAAGCAGCAAACTTTGCGAAGACCAATACTTGTGTCATTCTCAACTTTTGACCACGACTGTAGATGAAGGGCCTCATTGCCAAAATCTCGAAGTATTCCTTTAAATAACCTGTACTCTGGGGGTAGACGTAAATGTAAATCAGGGCCACTCCAATTTGGTAAATGTTTTGTATGGTATGTATTAATTTGTGGATGTTCATCCATTTCGTATATAATATGTTACGAATGCCAATTTTGTTTTGGCTAAAGTTAGCTAGGTGGCTAACATTAGCTAGGCAGGGGTTAAGGTTAGGGGAAGAGTTAGCTAACATGCTAAGTAGTTGCTAAAGTTGTCCCTGATGAGATTAGAACACACAATATTTGGTTTGCTAGACTTCGCGTTATACGCCCACCCAAACACCCACCCACCCTAACCAACCACCCTACTTTACTATGTTACGTCTAGTCTGAGGCCAGGCTGCTGTAAAATAATGTATGAATTCATGGAATGTATTTCTCCACTGTAGATCTCGACGTGCTAGCTGCAATAGAGGCCTCATCACTGTAAGTACCCTATGCTTTATGTGGCAGTCTATATGGTTATTTATGATAAATTGGACTACATTGGGGTTTTTAAGATGAGCAACTGATTGTTTCCGCCAAGGTCCCCTACTCTGGCAACAACAGGCAGCACAGAGGTAAGCATTAACCCACATGAAGGGGTAACTTAACCCTACTCAGTGGGGCTCCTTTAACCTAGTCCCATACTGTATGAACTGTATCCAACTCTGTCAAGCTATATCATTATATGGCATGTGGTAATATAGAGTTGAATGTTGCACATATAGTATGAGAGTACTAATGATTGTTGTGTCGTATAGATCCCTGCTGTAAACCAGACCAGTCTGACAACATCTCAGACTCGGTGAGTGATCACAACAAAATGTTTCTATGGTTCACCAATACTATACTCTTTCCAGTATTTCCATCAAATCCTGTGAAGTCATTGTTTTTCTCATATCATAGGGAAAGAAGTGAAACCTCACCGGAGGACATTTTCAAACTGTGTGGCAGCTCTGACACTGAGGTTGGCTATTTGATTCTTGTCATCTTATGTCACAGGCCTTCCCCCAATGTCTGCTGTGATGCTATTTGAGCAATGCTTTCAATGAGACAATGAGTATTAATCATCAAGTCAGTGGATCTAATGACTGTAGATGCCTTTAAAAATATACATTCAAAATGCTTGGTTGTCTGGGTACATACTCCCCTCTGTATTTATTTGGGACAGTGAAGCTAAAATTTGTAAATTTGGCTCTATACTCAGCGTTTTGGATTTGACCATGTTTCATGAGGTGACAGTACAGAATGTCACCTTTTTTATTTGAAGGAATTTTTATAGTGCTTTCATTACTAAATAGTAAAACAGCTATGTATGTAGTCCCTCCATTTGAAAAAGTTTATGTATATATACAGTGCCTTCAGAAAGTATTCAGACCCCTTGACTTTTTCCAAATTTTATTACATTAAAGCCTTATTCTAAAATGTATTTTTATCCATCTACACACACAATACCCCATAATGACAGGAGTCCACCTGTGGTAAATTCAATTGATTGGACATGCTTTGGAAAGGCACACACCTATCTATATAAGGTCCCACAGTTGACAGTGCATGTCAGAGCAAAAACCAAGCCATGAGGTCGAAGGTATTGTCCGAAGAGCTCCGAGACAGGATTGTGTCGGCACAGATCTGGGGAAGGGTACCAAAAAATGTCTGCAGCATTGAAGTTCCCCAAGAACACAGTGGCCTCCATCATTCTTAAATGGAAGAAGTTCGGAACTACCAAGACTCTTCCTAGAGCTGGCCGCCCGGCCAAACTAAGCAATCGGGGGAGAATGGCCTTGGTCAGGGAGGTGACTCTGACAGAGCTCCAGGGTTCTTCTGTCGAGAGTGGAGAACCTTCCAGAAGGACATCCATCTCTGCAGCACTCCACCAATCAGGCCATTATGGTAGAGTGGCCAGACAGAAGCCACTCCTCAGTAAAAGGCACATGGACAGCCTGCTTGGAGCTTGCCAAAAGCCACCTAAAGGACTCAGACCATGAGAAACCAGATTATCTGGTCTGATGAAACCAAGATTGAACTCTTTGGCCTGAATGCCAAGCGTCACGTCTGGAGGAAACCTGGCACCATCCCTACGGTTAAGCATGGTGGTGGCAGCATCATGCTGTGGGGATGTTTTTCAGTGGCAGGGACTGGGAGATTAGTCAGGATCGAGGGAAAGATGAACGGAGCAAAGTACAGAGATCCTTGATGAAAACCTGCTTCGGGACAAGTCTCTGAATGTCCTTGAGTGGCCCAGCCAGAACCATTTTAGAATAAGGCTGTAACTGAACAAAAATGTCTGAATACTTTCTGAATGTGCTGTGTGTGTAAATGTATGTACACTACCAGTCAAAAGTTTGGACACACCTACTCAATAAATGTTTTTTCTTTATTTTTACTATTCTTTTACATTGAAGAAGAATAGTGAAGACATCTCAACTATGAAAGAACACAATGGAATCATGTAGTAACCAAAAAAGTGTTAAATCAAAATATATTTGAGATTTTTCATATAGCCACCCATTGTCTTGATGACAACTTTGCACACGCTTGGCATTCTCTCAACAAGCTTCATGAGGTAGTCACCTGGAATGCATTTCAATTAACAGGTGTGCCTTCTTAAAAGTTAATTTGTGGAATTTATTTCCATCTTAATGCGTTTGAGCCAATCAGTTGTGTTGTGACAAGGTGGGGGTGTTATACAGAAGAGAGCCTATTTGGTAAAAGACCAAGTCCATATTATGGCAAGAACAGCTCAAATAAGCAAAGAGAAACAACAGTCCATCATTACTTTAAGACATGAAGGGCATTCAATACGGAACATTTCAAGAACTTTTAAAGTTTCTTCAAGTGCAGTCGCAGAAACCATCAACCGCTATGATGAAACTGGCTCTCATGAGGACCTTCACAGGAAGACCCAGAGTTACCTCTGCTGCAGAGGATAAGTTCATTAGAGTTACTAGCCTCAGAAATTGCAGCCCAAATAAATGCTTCACAGAGTTTAAGTAACAGACACATCTCAACATCAACTGTTCAGAGGGGACTGTGTGAATCAGGCCTTCATGGTTGAATTGCTGCAAAGCAACCACTACTAAAGGACACCAATCAGAAGAAGTGACTTGCTTGGGCCAAGAAACAAATTGGAGATTTTTGGTTCCAACCGCCATGTCTTTGTGAGATGCGGTGTGGGTGAACGGACGATCTCCGCATATGTATTTCCCACCGTAAATCATGGAGGTGTTATGGTGTGGGATTGCTTTGCTGGTGACACTGTCTGTGATTTATTTAGAATTCAAGGCACACTTAACCAGCATGGCTACCACAGCATTCTGCGGTGATATGCCATCCCATCTGGTTTGGGCTTAGTGGGACTATCATTTGTTTTTCAACAGGTCAATGACCCAACACACCTCCAGGCTGTGTAAGGGCTATTTTACAAAGGAGAGTGATGGAGTGCTGCATCAGATGACCTGGCCTCCACAATCCCCCGACCTCAACCCAATTGAGGTGGTTGGGGATGAGTCGGACCGCAGAGTGAAGGAAAAGCAGCCAACAAGTGCTCAGCATATGTGGGAACTCCTTCAAGACTGTTGGAACACTCCAGGTGAAGTTGGTTGAGAGAATGCCAAGAGTGTGCAAAGCTGTCATCAAGGCAAAGGGTGGTATTTGAAGAATCTCAAAAATAAAATGTATTTTGATTTAACACTTTTTTGGTTACTTCCATGTGTTATTTCATAGTTTTGATGTCTTCAATAATTAATTTAGAAATGAGCAAAAATAAAGAAAAACCCTTAAATGAGTAGGTGTCAACTTTTGACGTATGTTGTATGTGTATTCAGACCCCTTGACCTTTTCCACATTTTGTTACAGGCTTATTCTAAAATGCTAACCTCTCACCATTACCAGTAACAGGGGAGGGTAGCGGTTTTTGGAGGGGTATGATCTTTGTTCCGCTAACTTTCTCACTCTTCATTATTCAAGAATCATTCATGATTATCCATAATCATGGTAGGTAGCATCCAAATGAATATTGACGTGTTCAGAAACGTCTTCCATTCTTATTTACAATAAGTGACTCCAAAATGACACTACATTATTCACCATTCAGTTCCTATTGGGCAAAACATAATCAGAAACACAACCCAAGCAAACTGCAAATGCATCAAACAAATTTGTAGAGGCACAAGCTTGATGTAGTCTTTGCGTGCTAGAAATATGGGACCAAATATTTTTTGGGCCTACTTTAATACAATAAGTGAATTTGTCCAAATGCTTATGAAAAAACGTAGAATGTGGGGACTAGATGCATAAAGTGCTTTCATTTCTAAACGGTTAAATGGATATCTATGAAAATACCCTCAAATAGGTGACATTCTGTACTGTCGTATCGTATGAACATTTTGATCTCAAATGTTTTACATTTAGCTTCACTGTCAAAATAAATACGGAGGGGAGTGTATGTCCAAGATCATGATGAAAACCTGCCACCTTCTGGAGACCACAGGAACACTGCTTGTGCAGTCAGATCATGTCACTGAAAACGTCTGTGATGTCTTGGGCCTTGGCATTACCATCGCTGCATGTGTTAACGTCTGACTGCCTCAGGTCACTGTTGAAGTAACTGAGACTATTGGTGCCACGTATACAGACTTGTCACATGTCAGGAAGCAAGAGAGTATTACATTCTTGACTGCTTTGAAGAGGTACCAGGTCAGTTTGTAGATGGAGAAATGTCTATAGACTGTCTATTGTGTATGTTTAGAGGGTAAAGTACTAAACCACTTTCCTCTCAAGGGTATCTGTTTGGCCATATTTCCCTCTACATTTAAACATCAGTGTCTCTATGCTGTCTGTCTGTTTTGCAGGTGGCCAGGGCGAAAACAAGGCTCTTCAGCAGTCAGTGTCTCTCCTCTGGCGGGTAAAGCCACAGTCCCAAACACTTGTCCGAAAGACCTCTACAGGACACCTCTCTGTTCCTGTTAACTCACAAACCAGTTCAATGTTCACTCAGTTATATTAGTCGGTTGTCTGTAATCATGTCTGTTGAAACTGTTAAACTGTATCTATAGTTGATGTTGTCTCACAAATAGCAAGACCAAAGAAAACCCCTTGGTAATCGAATGGACACTACTAGTTGCAGAGGACTAGTGCAATTATAGTTAATTGATTTCTGTCTTCGTGTCCTCTTCAGGTCATCAACACACTCCACCCCAACCAACAAGGAGAAACACAAGCAAAAGGTTTGCAAAACAATTTTCACGATTTGATCAAAGTATTAGGGTATTGCACTCAATGGGATTCGCTGCTAACCATTTGTCATTTGTGGTATCGTAACTACTTCAGTCCTCCAGGACCCCCAACAGCACACATTTTGTTGTAAACAAAAACACCTGATATAACTTGTCAAGGGCTTGACGATTAGTTGACTAGTAGAATCAGGTGTGCTTGTCCGGGGCCACAACAAAAATATGTACTATTGAGGGTATGGGGGACCGGAGTTGGGAAACACTGCTGTAGCCAGTGGCGTTGTTTTGAAATCTCATATTCGTATGAATGAATAAAGGTATTGAACTTTATTGATATCCTCTACAGTCCAAATCAAAGGCCTCTCCTCCTCCCCCTCCCGAGGCTGGCAGCAGTGTGACCCTGTCCCAACGGGCCAAACACGACTACACCAGGAAGAAGCCCAAAACCAAGAGCAAACTGAAGAGTGAGCATGCCACGTCCCGCTTCCCCTCACACCCACTCATTGTGTCTGAGTGCTCTGAGCTGCGTTGGTCTAGTAGACACCCTGCTGTAGCCAGTATCCCCCTCACTCTCTCTACAGTTCTCCCCCTGTCCTCTCCCAGCAGCACGGAAGAGGCCTCCCCCGTCAAGGTAACACGCGTCTCTCCTTTATTCTAGGTTAGTAATTTTATAGCTGGTGGCAGCCATAGCCCTATTTCACCTAGGCTACCAGACAGTACCACCCCTTAAAACAAACTGACTGTCAGTAACATTTTGGGCAGTTATCAAATTGGATGAAATTATTGGTTATGCCATAGTGTTTTAAAGGTACTGTATGGGATCTAGGAATCTCTTCTGTGGTCATTTATTCTTGAAGAATATAAAGTGAAAAATGAATCCTAGGATGTAGCTTTAATAGCATAGGTCCAGTTTTTGGTGTGCCTCTTTACCTCGGGACTGTGATATGAAATGTTATTGCTGTTTGACAGTTGATGTCCACCACATCCCCTTTCTGTTTTGAACAGCACCGTACACCAAGTAAAAGCACTGCAGAGCAGCTATTCGACCAGCTCAAAGAGAAAGAAACTCTGGAGTTTTCTCCTCCGTCCAACCTGATTTCACGAGATTCAGGCAAGCTATACATTCATCAGAACAAGGCTGCATCTGAAATGGCACCCTATTCAATATAGTGCACTATTTTTGCCTGGGCTCATAGAGGCAATGTTAACTATGGTTGAATTTTGAACTCATGGATCATGGTGCTATAGTTTGAGACCTGTAGCTGATGTGAAACCTGTATGGGACTTTCCCTTCAATACAGGTATTTTTTATTTTACCTTTATTTAACTAGGCAAGTCAGTTAAGAACAAATTCTTATTTACAATGACGCCAAACCCGGACGACGCTTGGCCAATTGTGCACCGCCCTATGGGACTCCCAATCACGGCCGGTTGTGATACAGCCTGGAATCGAACCAGGGGGTCTGTAGTGACGCCTCAAGCACTGAGATGCAGTGCCTTAGACCACTGCGTGTCAAAATAAAAGTCCCATACAGGTGTCACATTAGCTAACAACATTGCATTTCTTGCAGGCTTCCCTGATGTGACTGGTGAGGATTGGGACAAATCTGTGTTTCACCGGGAGGAACAAGATGAATCTACACTTCAGGTACCCCGTAGTACTAGCCTGGTGCCAGATCTGTTTGTGCTGTTTAGCCATCGCCATAGACTACGACCGTAAGCATTGGCTATACAGCACAAACAGATCTGGCACCAGGCTATCATGGTACATCCCAATAACACAAAATATGTTTCACCTCTCCAATAGGAGAATCCCTCTCCTATTCCGAAATCTTCTCTTGGAAGATTTACTAACAGAAACCCTACATTTGTACCCTGGTGCTAGTTATTCTATTGTTTTGTTGGGTGTTTACTGTACTGTTGGTTCTAACATATGTAATACATGTTATAACATGTATATGTTATTATAATATAAATGTAATCTGTCATAATCAGTGCTTGACTTGGGCAGGAGCTCACCGGAGCTGAGTACCGGCACCTCCATTTTCTACTGCTTGAGCTCCTGTTCCTCTAGTAGAATATTAGCTCAAAAGTGTTGTGGAGCTCCTGCACCTAAATATAAACAGTACCGGCACCTATTTTAGTCCAAGTCAAGCACTGGTCATAATGTGAAATCATTATTTCAGGACCATGTTCCCAATCAGGAGGCTGCAACTCCTAGGAAGAGGCCTTGGGCCTCAGGTATGTCTCTGAAGTCCCTCTGCAATGAATTGACATGTACTGTTGACCAATCTGGTCTTTATATGTCTAAAAGAGCATTTGTTTTCAAATACTTACCTTGGTCGTATTCATTAGGCATCAAACTGAATTAAAAGGACAAACGGGGAGGGACTACCTGAACTTGTCCTATAAGAAGAGCTTGCGTTCGTTTTCAATTGCAAAATGTTTTACTATTATGCAACCTAATGAATACGATAGAACACTTGATAAAACATGGCCCTCAGTGAAGGAGAAATTAGCATAAAGGTGTGGACTGGTGCTGACCGTGGTCAATGGCCATGTTGTGGTCTTATTACTCAGCAGAGCGTGCTGACTCGGGAGGTGCAGCGGAGGAGAAGAGTGTGCTGCCAGAGAGGAAGCTAGAAAGGGATCCCTCGGATCCAAGGCTAAGACCTAGGGCCCTCTTCCCCTCAGACCCTCTAGAGGAGGCTGCTGGTAATACATCGTAAATCGTACACACATGCATACAGTGCATTTGGAAAGTATTCAGACCCCTTGACTTTTTCCACATTTTGTTACGTTACAGCCTTATTCAACAATTGATTTAAAAAATAATAATCCTCAGCAATCTACACACCATACCCCATAATGGCATAGTGAAAACAGGTTTTTAGATTTTTTTGCAAATTTATAAAACTACATAAAACAGATACCTTATTTACATTAGTATTCAGACCCTTTGCTATGAGACTCGAAATTGAGCTCAGGTGCATCCTGTTTCCATTGATCATCCTTGATGATTCTACAACTTGATTGGAGCCCACCTGTGGTAAATTCAACTGATTTGACTTGATTTGGAAAGGCACACACCTGTCTATATAAGGTCCCACAGTTGATAGTGTATATAAGGGCCCCGTGTAGCTCAATTGGTAGAGCATGGCGCTTGCAACACCAGGGTTGTGGGTTCGATTCCCACGGGGGGCCAGTATGAAAAATGCATGCACTCACTAACTGTAAGTCGCTCTGGATAAGAGCGTCTACTAAATGACTAAAATGACAAATGTAATAGTGCATGTCAGAGCAAAAACCAAGCTATGAGGTCGACAGAATTGTCCGTAGAATATTTATGTAAATTAGACTTCTGTATTTCATTGTAAAAAAATTAGCTAACATTTCTAAAAACAGGTTTTCACTTTCTCATTATGGGGTATTGTGTGTAGATGGGTGACATTTATTTTTATCCAGTTTAAATTCAGGCTGTAACAACAATATGTGGAATATGTCAAGGGGTATGAATACTTTCTAAAGGCACTGTATGCTACTGGATGTGCAGGCTTTTGTTCCAACCCCATCTGTTTCCTGCTCTCCAGAATCCATGAGCAGAGTGCTGAATGAGGAGGTGGAGTCTGAGATGGAGATGGGCTCTGGAGTCATCGCTGCCTTCCAGACCTTCAAGAGCCAGCTGAGAGCGCACTTCTCGGTGATCACATCACACGGACTCATGCAACACAACATACAATCATGGTCACTACTGTTACCCTGGTCCTGGAGAGCTACAGCTTGCCCCATTCTAATCTCGAACCCAGAAGAAAAAATATTGCGTGCGCTGGCCAGCTACTGTCACCAGAGATCAGCCCGGCACTAACACACGATTCCTCCAATCGCTTACCCATCAAGACCTTTAAAACTAGACACTAGAAAACATTTGACTATGGAGCTATTTGATAAAGGTTGCTACCATTCATGTTTCAGTTGACTAATCCCCCTTTCCTATTGTTCCTACAGTCCAGATACAAGAAGATTGAAGCCCGCTCCCTGCAGTCTCTGACGGACTGTCAGAAAAACGTCACCTCTCTCCTGGGTGCTGTCCATGACAACAGGTAAAGACCATCACCTGGACCAGTCTTAAATAATAATGGATTAATTAATAATTGATGGATTCATTTAGATTAATCTCAAATCGCTTTACACTTGGGAGCTCGTCTCATCCATGGGTGATGTTTATACATAGTGATTGGACATGCCACCTATTCTTGTGTCCTATGATTGTTGGAAGATTCCGCTGAGATTCTCTCTGGTCCTGTGATTGGTCGAGGATGTGGTTTACAGTGACTTTCTTCCTGTTTGTGCAGGCTGGTCCACCTGGAGCGCTTCCAGGCCACAGTAGTCCAGGAGTTGGGCCGCCTGGAGAACGACTGCATCTCGCTCAAAGAGATCGAGAGGGAAACTGTGGTCTGTCTTTCTTCTGTCTCTCTGACTAGCACACCGTCCTCATTGAAACGCATTACTTCATTTGATGTTACCCTTACTTAAACCTGGGCCGTGTGTTTGTTAGGGCAAGCAACGGAAAAGATTTTGTAACAGATAACAAAAATTACATTTCTTATGGATGGGTGGTTGAACTCCTGTTTTCTGCCATCCGGTGCCTAATGAACACGACCCAGGCTGCCTTATGTTCATAATGAGAGAGTTTGTGGCTGATGTATGTACTGCTACAGAGATTACTTGGAAAGTAGGGCAGGCAAACTGCACAAGAACCAGTTGACAGTACTGCCTTCCTCCCACTAGGGTTCACTCTTGCTTCCACTACACCATAATGCTTTCTGGCCCACTCCTAAGAGTTAGGGTTTGGTTCAAAAGGATTCAAAGGGTTAACATTGTTTTGTTAACTCCTTTCATTTTTCAGAACTTTTGGCAGAGCGAGTCTCAGTCCGTGCGGTCGTTCTGTGACCGACAGCAGCAGAGGTAAGTAAGCACAAAACGGCCAACTGACCTAACCTTAATGCAGGGAGATGGTACATGTCACATCACATGTATCTAATAATGAAAATAATAGCCATGTCAGCTGAAAAGTCATGCTCTCCCATCGCCTTCCAGGTTAGAGTCACTAGGAGAGCCCAGAGAGGGGTGGAGGAGCAGCATGTCACAGAGGGAGGAGGCTGCAGCACCACCGGTACCCTTCTGACCCACACAGTCTATAACATACATCACATGGCATGTCCCCGTGGAGTAGGCTGTCCATCCTGTCCTTGGACATCATTCTTGTCGTCTTTTCAAAATGGCAAATGAGATATTGTATTATAACCTATAATCGCAGACACGGATCACTCAAAACGAGAGTAAAAACACTTTGTACACTGCAAATCTAGCCAGGGTGAAGCAGGAGAACTAGTCATCTCTGTAGCAGTGTTATTGGTTGTGGTGTGAATCATGGTCACAGAGTTACTGTGTTAGTGGACCTCGGATGTACTTGGGCTCCCCAGGATGAACTACGGACCACACTGAACCAAGCAGAACTGAGCCAGCAGCAGCACTTCATAACCCACCTGACTCCTAGAGTATCAAAGACAATATTCCCAGCCTGAGCACAGTCTGTGTAGCTATGGCTGTTTGGATTTCTAGGTCTGTAACAATATTCAACATGGGATTACGGTGGCGTGAAATGATAGTTCACTTTTTTGAAGTTGGGAGATTCTGGATGTGGCTAAATAACCAGCCAATTATCTTAAATTGTTTTGATGGAACTTCAACAATATCATAGGCAAGTACAACTTCAATAAAGTGACTTATCTCTTTAAGACTTCAAAAAATATGACTTATTCTCTCTTCCTCTCCCCAGGAACCTCCAATGTAGAGAGCTGGTGACAAAGGAAATAGAAGCCAAGACACTCCAGTTCCTGATGAAACCAACACCACTTTGGACCTTTATATTGACATTGAACCATGAGTAACGTCATACAGATGTGTAATGGCTGATAGACCGTGACCAAGGTTCTCACCCAGGCAATGTTCCATCTTGCTAATTTTTTTCCTTTCTGGCATTGTTCAAAATACACAAAATAAGAGCTAATACATTAATAGCTAAAGGATAATAGGCTGATGAATTTCAGGGACTTGGTTGGACATCGTAGAGCAAGGCAGTCCATGCTTGTTTATTTTTTTGTTGATTTGTTGAATTTTTTTATTTTGTCATGTTTGTCGATAGCCATTCAAAGACATTCATTGATCAGTGGTTGCATTTCTCGATCAATGTATAAAGTCTACGAAAGACGTCAGGAAAACCTGTAGAATAGTTTTTTTCTAAAGAACCAGTCAAATGTTCACCATGTTTTGCACACAAACTTGCATTCAAATACATTGTGATATCAGGTAGGTTTTGCAGTGTTTCTAAGGCATCTTTAGTTTAACAATAATTTGAGTGAATGCTCTGGAGTGATATTTTTGGTGAGTACACCATATACATGAGGCTATATTCTATAAAGGCATAGTTGTGGCCAAATATATTGGCACCCTTGCACTTTTCTTAAATTTCTAATTTCTTATAAAATACGTTTTTTTCAAATTATGAAACTTTTGCAATGTTCAACCCAATGTTATTGGATTTGTTTAACATTGCAGAACCAATTTTATTTTTGTAAACTTATGTTTACAAAAAAAATTTTTTTAGAAAATACAGGCAATTGGCATGGACAAAATTGCCACCCCGGAGCTAGTACTTGATTGCAAAGTCTTTGGCCAAGATAACGGCAGACAAATGATTATTGTAGCTATCAATACGCTTGCTGCACCTTTCTACTGACAATTTGGCCCACTTTTCAGCAGCAAACTGCTCAAATTCTTAAATGTTTGAGGGTTACCCTCCACCAACTGCTGTTTTCAGATCTCGCCATAGGTTTTGGATGTGATTCAGATCTGGACTCGTCACTGGCCACTTCAGAACAGTCCAGCATCACCTGGGTGCTTTTTGCTATGTGTTTGGAGTCGTTGTCCTGCTGGAAGATCCACAACCTTTAATGGAGACCTAGTTTTTGTCAACATTGGACTCCACCACTAATAATCTGCTGATTTCATGATGCCTTACCCCAGTACCAAAGGCAGCGAAGGAACCCTGCAGCATTCTCAAACCCCGTCTTTGATTGTACGGAGGGTGTTCTTTTCATTGAACGCTTCATTTGGTCGTCAGTAAACAGTGCTGATCTGTATTGCCGTAGAGCACTAATTTGGTTTCTTTGGTCCACAGAACATTTGAACATTGCAGTGTTTAGGCTTGTTTCGGTAGTTTTCTTTGAAGTAGGCTTTTTTTGTGTCTCCATCAGCAGTGGGGTCTTCCTGTGTTTACCATCAACCAAATGAAGCGTTCAAAGAAAAGAACACCCTCCCTACAATTAATTAGGGCGAGGTTTGTTAATGCTGTGGGGTTGCTTTGCTGCCTCTGGTACTGGAGGCCTTAAATGTGTGCAAGACATCATGAAATCCGCAGTTCTTTGAGTGCAACGTTCGACAGTGTCCAAAAACTCTCTTCAAAGCAGGACAACAACCCCAAACACACACAAAAAGCCCCCTGGAATGGTTCAAGAAGAAACACTGGACTGTTCTGGAGTGGCCAGTGAAGAGTCCAGGACCCGGTTTCCCAAAAGCATCTTAAGGCTAAGTTCATCTTAGGACGTATGGTTCTATCGAACTTAAACTTAAGATGCATTTGGGAAACCTGGCCCAGATTCTAAATCCCATCCATATGGAGAGAGCTGAAAACAGCAGTTGGAGGGCACCCCTCAAATGTTGAAGAATTAGAACAGTTTGCTGCTGAAGAGTGGGCCAAAATGCCAGTAGAAAGGTGCAGCAAGCTCATTGCTGGCTACAAGAAGCATTTGTTGGCAGTTGTCTTGGCCAAAGGCTGTGCAACCAAGTACTAGCTCCTGGGTGCCAATAATTTTGTCCATGCCATTTTGTTAAAGACATAAAATTGGTTCTGCAATGTTGAAAATCTGATAAGTTGTTTATAATTTAAACTTCTTTTAGAAGAAATAGGAAATTATTTGAGAATTGTGCAAGGGTGCCAATACAAAGTAAATAGTCAAATAAAGTATTGTGAAAATTGCTGATTGTACTCTATGACAATATACAGTGGCTTGCGAAAGTATTCACTCCCTTTGGCATTTTTCCTATTTTGTTGCCTTACAACCTGGAATTAAAATGGATTTTTTGGGTGTTTGTATCATTTGATTTACACAACATGCCTACCACTTTGAAGATGCAAAGTATTTTTTTATTGTGAAACAAACAAGACATAAGACAAAAAACAAAACTTGAGCGTGCATAACTATTCACCCCCCCCCCCAAAGTCAATACTTTGTAGAGCCACCTTTCGCAGCAATTACAGCTGCAAGTCTCTTGGGGTATGTCTCTATAAGCTTGGCACATCTAGCCACTGGGATTTTTTCCCATTCTTCAAGGCAAAACTGCTCCAGCTCCTTCAAGTTGGATGGGTTCCGCTCAATTGGATTGAGGTCTGGGCTTTGACTAGGCCATTCCAAGACATTTAAATGTTTCCCCTTAAACCACTCAAGTGTTTCTTTAGCAGTATGCTTAGGGTCATTGTCCTGCTGGAAGGTGAACCTCCGTCCCAGTCTCAAATCTCTGGAAGACTGAAACAGGTTTCCCTCAAGAATTTCCCTGTATTTAGCGCCATCCATCATTCCTTCAATTCTGACCAGTTTCCCAGTCCCTGCCGATGGAAAAACATCCCCACAGCATGATGCTGCCACCACCATGCTTCACTGTGGGGATGGTGTTCTCGGGGTGATGAGAGGTGTTCGGTTTGCGCCAGACATAGCATTTTCCTTGATGGCCAAAAAGCTCAATTTTAGTCTCATCTGACCAGAGTACCTTCTTCCATATGTTTGGGGAGTCTCCCACATGCCTTTTGGTGAACACCAAATGTGTTTGCTTATTTTTTTCTTTAAGCAATGGCTTTTTTCTGGCCACTCTTCCGTAAAGCCCAGCTCTGTGGAGTGTACGGCTTAAAGTGGTCCTATGGACAGATACTCCAATCTCCGCTGTGGAGCTTTGCAGCTCATTCAGGGTTATCTTTGGTGTCTTTGTTGCCTCTTTGATTAATGCCCTCCTTGCCTGGTCCGTGAGTTTTGGTGGGCGGCCTTCTCTTGGCAGGTTTGTTGTGGTGCCATATTCTTTCAATTTTTTAATAATGGATTTAATGGTGATCCGTGGGATGTTCAATGTTTCGGATATTTTTTTATAACCCAACCCTGATCTGTACTTCTCCACAACTTTGTCCCTGACCTGTTTGGAGAGCTCCTTGGTCTTCATGGTGCCGCTTGCTTGGTGGTGCCCCTTGCTTGGTGGTGTTGCAGACTCTGGTGCCTTTCAGAACAGGTGTGTGTGTGTGTATGTATGTATGTATGTATATATACACAGTGGGGGGGAAAAAGTATTTAGTCAGCCACCAATTGTGCAAGTTCTCCCACTTAAAAAGATGAGAGAGGCCTGTAATTTTCATCATAGGTACACGTCAACTATGACAGACAAAATGAGGAGAAAAAATCCAGAAAATCACATTGTAGGATTTTTAATGAATTTATTTGCAAATTATGGTGGAAAATAAGTATTTGGTCAATAACAAAAGTTTCTCAATACTTTGTTATATACCCTTTGTTGGCAATGACACAGGTCAAACGTTTTCTGTAAGTCTTCACAAGGTTTTCACACACTGTTGCTGGTATTTTGGCCCATTCCTCCATGCAGATCTCCTCTAGAGCAGTGATGTTTTGGGGCTGTCGCTGGGCAACACGGACTTTCAACTCCCTCCAAAGATTTTCTATGGGGTTGAGATCTGGAGACTGGCTAGGCCACTCCAGGACCTTGAAATGCTTCTTACGAAGCCACTCCTTCGTTGCCCGGGCGGTGTGTTTGGGATCATTGTCATGCTGAAAGACCCAGCCACGTTTCATCTTCAATGCCCTTGCTGATGGAAGGAGGTTTTCACTCAAAATCTCACGATACATGGCCCCATTCATTCTTTCCTTTACACGGATCAGTCGTCCTGGTCCCTTTGCAGAAAAACAGCCCCAAAGCATGATGTTTCCACCCCCATGCTTCACAGTAGGTATGGTGTTCTTTGGATGCAACTCGGCATTCTTTGTCCTCCAAACACGACAAGTTGAGTTTTTACCAAAAAGTTATATTTTGGTTTCATCTGACCATATGACATTCTCCCAATCCTCTTCTGGATCATCCAAATGCACTCTAGCAAACTTCAGACGGGCCTGGACATGTACTGGCTTAAGCAGGGGGACACGTCTGGCACTGCAGGATTTGAGTCCCTGGCGGCGTAGTGTGTTACTGATGGTAGGCTTTGTTACTTTGGTCCCAGCTCTCTGCAGGTCATTCACTAGGTCCCCCCATGTGGTTCTGGGATTTTTGCTCACCGTTCTTGTGATCATTTTGACCCCACGGGGTGAGATCTTGCGTGGAGCCCCAGATCGAGGGAGATTATCAGTGGTCTTGTATGTCTTCCATTTCCCAATAATTGCTCCCACAGTTGATTTCTTCAAACTAAGCTGCTTACCTATTGCAGATTCAGTCTTCCCAGCCTGGTGCAGGTCTACAATTTTGTTTCTGGTGTCCTTTGACAGCTCTTTGGTCTTGGCCATAGTGGAGTTTGGAGTGTGACTGTTTGAGGTTGTGGACAGGTGTCTTTTATACTGATAACAAGTTCAAACAGGTGCCATTAATACAGGTAACGAGTGGAGGACAGAGGAGCCTCTTAAAGAAGAAGTTACAGGTCTGTGAGAGCCAGAAATCTTGCTTGTTTGTAGGTGACCAAATACTTATTTTCCACCATAATTTGCAAATAAATTCATAAAAAATCCTACAATGTGATTTTCTGGAGAAAAAAAATCTCAATTTGTCTGTCATAGTTGACGTGTACCTATGATGAAAATTACAGGCCTCTCATCTTTTTAAGTGGGAGAACTTGCACAATTGGTGGCTGACTAAATACTTTTTTCCCCCACTGTATATATACTGAGATCATGTGACACTTAGATTGCACAAGGGTGGACTTTATTTAACTAATTATGTGACTTCTGAAGGTAATTGGTTGCACCAGATCTTATATACGGGCTTCATAGCAAAGGGGGTGAATATATATGCAAGCACCACTTTTCCGGAAAGTGGAAATGAGCATTGTGTACAGTAGTGTTACACATATTCAGTGTAAAGCTTCAAGGAAACCAAAACAAGGATTTGATACAAAAATGAAGTACAAAGTATTCTATACAAAAACGCAACATATGTACTGAAGTGCAGCCCTGTTTTTGAGCTTTATAGCAGTAGTGTCACAGTATATATAGATTCTGGTGGTAGTTGAAGTCTGTCGTGGTCTCAACAGCCAGGTCCAAAGACTACTGCCTCTTCTTGAGGCTGGTGCCATTGGTGAAGGCGGAGTGGCCATTTGGATGACTGGACTTGATGTGGCTCTGCTCAAAAGAAAGCTTCTCGTCTTCGCTGGGCTGTCTTTTTCTGTAGGTCTGGGATCAAAGCATTTGGACTTAAGTCAACTTCGAACCATTGAAAAACCAACAAACATTCAGACATGCCTTTAAAATTAAGCCCTAATGTAACAAAGACCATGGTCCTGGTTGTTAGGCACCAAATGGACTGAACCAGGGAGGGACTACCTGGACTTTTCCATAACACATTTTCTGTTGCAAAACATTTTAAAGCATTTTTCTTGTAATGAACATAACCCCATTTCAATCCAATAGTCATGTGAAGTTGGCCCCAGTCATTACTGTACCTGAATGTAGAAGTTGACAAAGAGGATGACTAGGGTGGCCATGTAAGAGACCTGGAAGAGCAGGCAGCTGACGGGAAAACCACAGGGGATGATGACTGCACCCAGGGTGTGTATGATGGACAGTAGAAACTGGACCTGAGGCAGAGGGAGAGCAAAGAGTCTTATCATTCCTCTAACATGCTTGGATCTTATCATCCCATGTTGTTGGTTAATGAAGACACTAAAGCGCATTTCTCTTAGTCTAGAACAGGGGTTCTTAAACTAGAGACTAGAAGGGTAGTTCCCTTTATGAGAGTTAAGGGGTTCTCACATCCTGCCTATTCACTGCCAATTTGGGTTGTGCTGCTTGTTTTTTTTTACTTCCACATGGATGCCGAAAGAGGGTTGTCATTATCGTTCAGACACAAAAGTGAACTAGCGCGACCAGTGTACTCACCAGCTGAGCCTGAGTCAGGTAGCGCTTCCACCAGAGGTATTTATGCATGGAGGGTATTGTGGACAGGCCGTAATAGGAGTACATACACACGTGGATGAAACTGTTCAGTGTTGGCCCAAAGAAACCTTAAAAGAATATAATGGAGAAATTACTGATTGGCATATTTGACCAACCCTTTCATTGAAGTTCCTCAGTTTGGTCTGTCACTGTCACAAAGGCAAGAAAATTACAGCGAAAAAAAGGAATAAACCATCATTTGCAAATTGCTTGAAGCAGGGACATGATCAGGTTGTTTGGGCTATTTAACTTGGCTACATAGCATAACAATTCATGAAAACAAAAATATGCTTTTTGGTCTTAATTTAAGGTTTGGGTTAACCACAGCAGTGTGGTTAAGGTTTAAAATCAGATTTTATGACTTTGTGGCTCAGTACATGAGTCATCCCAATAAATGCCAACCTGCGGCAGAATCAGAACTATCCCAGTTGGGCTCCAACATTGAAGAGTAGGCATTAGAACACATCCTCAAGAAGAACATCAACCCCAGCTTTAATCTGACCCTTACATTAACCTCTAAGGCTGCGTTTAGACAGGTAGCCCAATTCAGATCTTTTTTCCACTAACTGGTCTTTTGACCAATCACATCAAATTTTTTCACATCAGATCTTTTTCAGAGCTGATCTGATTGGTCAAAAGACTAAATAGTGAAAAAAATCTCAGAATTGGGCAGCCTATGTAAACGCAGCCTATATTTCTAAACCGAGCACACAGCCAGCCCCATTCTTATTCACTCTTGGATCAGTTGAGTCCTTCGAAGGATCCATTCTTCTAACAGTGATGTTGGCGAAAGTGGTTGAGACCTACTCTGTCCACAGGGGATCCAGTTGAGAACACTCCACCAGATGTTGAACATGGAGGCGTGGTGATACACGTGCAGGAAGGTGATCTGGCTGTTTTTCTTCCGCAGCACAAAGAACATGGTGTCAAGGAACTCAATCAGCTTGGAGAGGTAGTACCACCACAGCACCTTGGCTACCTGTGGAGAGTGTATAGAAGAGCCTATAGGTGACAGTGCAGTCACATGGCCAGTACTGGATCAACTTTCCTTTCATGTATCTGTCACTTTGACCCTGTTACTTACAGAAGTACTTAAGAATGTGGTTATATACAAAACATTTGACCATAATCTAATTTCAATGTTTTAGCGGAGCAATAAACATTCATAACTTATTATTTAATTTACAGTTAATTACATTTTAATTAACTTTTGCCATGATCTCTAACGTTACATTCTTGTATTGTGTGTCCATTTCTTTGTCATAAATTACACCGCTGTATTCTTGTGTATGTTGCTTTATGTTATCACATTCAGATACAATGTTTTCAAACTAGGGGGAGAGAGAGGTGCAGATGACGGGGGGATGCGGGGGCAGCCATGGGATGGGGCGGGGTCATGCTGAAGCCATTCGTACACACTAGCTGACAATCATATCATACAACTCATTCCCTTTGAAGTTGGAGGAGGTACAGTAGCAGCATGAGTATGTACAGGTAACTGCCAAACTAAAGGGAACACCATCATAGTGTCTTAATAGAGCGTTGGTCCACCACGAGCCGGCAGAACAGCTTCAATGCGCCTTGGCATAGATCAGGGATCATCAACTATATAGATTCAGCCGCGGGTCGATTTTATTTTTTTGAGTGGCTGGTAGGGCGTCCAGAACATAATTACAGATCAATTGTAGACTGCAAATTGACCTCAAGAATCCCTAACAGATATAATATTTGACTAAAACATAATCATTTCAAACCTTGCTTACATTTGTATACGATCTGTCTCTCTATTATGCATGGGAATACTTGGGAACATATTTATACAATATTTAATCAATTGGAGCTGATTCCCTGCTGTTTTTACAGTCTTTTATGTCCAACAATGAAAATGTAAAAGAAATATATAAATATATCTATATACTATTTTTGTAGCTCAGAAAACTTGGGGGGCCAAATAAAACCACCCGCAGGCCAAATTCGGACTGCGGGCCGCCAGTTGGGGAACCATGGAATAGATTCTACAAGTGTTTGGAACTCTATTGGAGGGATGCAACACATTCTTCCACGACAAATTCCATCATTTGGTGTTTTGTTGATGGTGGTGGAAAACGCTGTGTCAGAAGCCACTCTAGAATCTCTAAACCTGATATCGCGAGCTTACATAAATGATTCGCTATACTGTATCCGTGTAGCGAATCATTTATGTAAGCTCGCAAGATCAGGCTGGTTGTACGAGGCTAAACAGCAAGGGCTTTAGCATAATTTACTTGAGTCATGGAGAACTGGTTTATACCAGCTCCATAGTTTCAACTCATATTCAACTCGTATATAAGATGCTTTATATGTGAGTGCAGACGACATATTGCATACGACATATTGCATTTCTTAACTACACTCTGAAAAAAAGGTGCTATCTAGAACCTAAAAGGGTTATACGGCTGTCCCCATAGGAGAACCCTTTTTGGTTCCAGGTAGAAACCTGTTGGGTTCCATGTAGAACCCTCTGTGAAAAGGGTTATCCTACGGGGACAGCTGAAGAACCCTTTCGGAACCCATTTTTTAAGAATGTATATGGTTTATAATAAGTAGTAAGGGAACAACAGTCAACACTACATGGTTCCTTGCTTAAAAATGTGATGAGTGGGTGTGTGTTAGCTATTAGCTAACCTCTGTAGCTCAGCTGGTAGAGCACGGCGCTTGTAACGCCAAGGTAGTGGGTTCAATCCCCGGGACCACCCATGCACAAAAATGTATGCACGCATGACTGTAAGTCGCTTTGGATAAAAGCGTCTGCTAAATGGCATATTATATTATATTATATATTTCTACATTTCTATTTCAGTGGTTTCATAGGCCAGTCATGGAGTAGACAGTAGAGCTCCACAGAAGTGTTACTGAGAGAAGAAAGGCGGATGGTGTAAAGGATTAGGGAGTGAGTCAGCACACACACACACACACGGCCATCGTGTCACTAACCCTGACATCAGCTTCCCCTGCTTCATGGAGTCCCTGACACTGCAGCCGGTAGCCTCCCGACCACGATGCACAGATGAGCTGCAACCAAAACACCACCGTCAACGTCACAGTGTCTCTCACCAAACACACACATACACACAGTTGTGCACCATTTCCCTGTAACACAAACACATCACCCTGCCCCACACACCACACACACACACACACCCACAACACACACAACACCACCACCCCTGCCCCACAACACCCACACCAACACACACACACACACACCCCCTGCCCCACACACACACACACACACCCACACACACCACCCTGCCCCACACACACACACACACACACACCACACCACCCTGCCCCACACACACCACACACACACACACACACACACGACACCCACCACACACACACACACCCCCCCTTGCCCCCCCCACACACACACACCACACACACAACAGCACACCACACACCACCCTGCCCCACAGCACACACACACACCACACCCACCACACACACCACACGCACACACACACACACACCCCCACACCCCACCCCCCACCCCACACACCAGCACCACCCACCCCCTTCCCCATACACACACACACACACACACACACCACCCTGCCCCACACAACGGAGATTCGCAATTGAGCACACTTTTCAGTCTAGGACGAGGCTTAATCTGTGTCCGGGAAACTGATCCTTATGCAGTACGTCTTTAGGACAACTGGTTTATAAACTGAATATTTCATAGGGCTATAAGAGTGTGATCTCAGATAACTGAGGGTTATGTGCAGTGAAACATACAGAATATACATTAAGTCAAATGAAAAAGTGGTGCACACCAACAGTTTAAGCTGGAGGCTATGTTAGAAGCATGTAATGCAGTACAAGCTCCTCTTAAGGCCTTTTCAACTGGGCTCATCCATAGGAAAGATGCCGAGGCCCGGGAGCTACAAAATAAACACCTCAAACTTTATTTCACACTATCAAAAAGATATACATAATACATAGGATCTTAATTTGGATTTCTATTATTGCATAGCATTATCATCTTTCTGTCAATATAAAAGTCAAAATCTGTGTTGTGTAAGAGTGGCAGCCTGCCTGGAAGGGTTTCCAGTGAAAGTAGTCTGTCTGTATGGTCCTTCACCTAGCCTGGAATCAGAGCTGATCTGGCCTCTGGCCCACTGCACAACATGTCATATGAGACCGCAGACGGGCCCATGCCCAGAGGTCACAGTGAGAGAGGGAGACAGAGAGAGGAGTGAGAGAAAGAAGGAGCTAAAGAGATGGTGGGGCGGGAGACAGAGAGAGGGAGGGAGAAAGCTACGGGAGGGGCGAGAGAGGGAGGGAGAAAGCTAGGGGAGGGGTGAGAGAGGGAGGGAGAAAGCTACGGGAGGGGCGAGAGAGGGAGGGAGAAAGCTAGGGTGGGCGAGAGAGGGAGGAGAAAAGCTAGGGGGGGCGAGAGAGGGAGGGAGAAAGCTAGGGGAGGGGCGAAGAAGGGAGGGAGAAAGGCTAGGGTAGGGGGATGAGAGAGGAGGGAGAAAGCTAAGTGAGTGGGGAGAGAGAGGAGGGAGAAAGCTAAGGGAGGGGTGATAGAGGGAGGGGAGAAAGCCTAAGGGGAGGGGCAAGAAGGAGGGAGGAGAAAGCTAGGGAGGGGCGAGAAGGAGGGAGAAAGTGGGGGGAGCAGAGAGGAGGGAAAGCTGGGGGCGACGAGAGGGGGGAGAAAGCTACGGGGCGAGAGAGGAGGGAGAAAGCTACGGGAGGTGTGAGAGAGGGAGGGAGAAGCTGGCGGCGATGAGAGGAGGGAGAAAGCTAGGGAGGGGCGAGAGAGGGAGGGAAAAGCTGGGTGGTGCGGCAGAGGGAGGAGAAAGCTGGGGGCGAGAGAGGGAGGGAGAAGCTACGGGGGCGAGAGAGGAGGAGAAAGCTACGGGAGGGGTGAGAGAGGGAGGGTAAAGCTGGGTGGAGCGAGGAAGGGGTGAGAAAGCTACGGGGGCGAGAGAGGGAGGGAGAAAGCTGGGGGGGCGAGAGAGGGAGGGAGAAAGCTGGGGGGGCGAGAGTGGGAAGGGAAGGGAGCTGAAAGTGAGATAGTACCAAGCGTTCCTCCCCATCCCTTTTATCTTTCTCCATCACTCCATCCTTCTCTTATCTTTCTCCATCCCTCCATCCTTCTCTTCCTTTCTCCTTCCCTCCCTTTCTCCCTTCCCGGAAGACAAAAGTGTAACATGACCTCTACTATAGAATTAGAATACTGTAAATATATATATACACTACCAGTCAAAAGTTTGGGCACACCTACAGTGGGGGAAAAAAATATTTAGTCAGCCACCAATTGTGCAAGTTCTCCCACTTAAAAAGATGAGAGAGGCCTGTAATTTTCATCATAGGTACACGTCAAATATGACAGACAAAATTAGGAAAAAAAAAAAGTATTTGGTCAATAACAAAAGTTTCTCAATACTTTGTTATATACCCTTTGTTGGCAATGACACAGGTCAAACGTTTTCTGTAAGTCTTCACAAGGTTTTCACACACTGTTTCTGGTATTTTGGCCCATTCCTCCATGCAGATCTCCTCTAGAGCAGTGATGTTTTGGGGCTGTCGCTGGGCAACATGGACCTTCAACTCCCTATAAAGATTTTCTATGGGGTTGAGATCTGGAGACTGGCTAGGCCACTCCAGGACCTTGAAATGCTTCTTACGAAGCCACTCCTTCATTGCCCGGGCGGTGTGTTTGGGATCATTGTCATGCTGAAAGACCCAGCCACGTTTCATCTTCAATGCCCTTGCTGATGGAAGGAGGTTTTCACTCAAAATCTCACGATACATGGCCCCATTCATTTACATTACATTTTAGTCATTTAGCAGACGCTCTTATCCAGAGCGACTTACATGAGCAATTAGGGTTAAGTGCCTTACTCAAGGGCACATCAACAGATTTTTCACCTAGTCGGCTCGGGGATTAGAACCAGCGACCTTTCGGTTACTGGCACAACGCTCTTAACCACTAAGCTACCTGCCGCCCCATTCATTCTTTCCTTTACACGGATCAGTCGTCCTGGTCCCTTTGCAGAAAAACAGCCCCAAAGCATGATGTTTCCACCCCCATGCTTCACAGTAGGTATGGTGTTCTTTGGATGCAACTCAGCATTCTTTGTCCTCCAAACACGACGAGTTGAGTTTTTACCAAAAAGTTCTATTTTGGTTTCATCTGACCATATGACATTCTCCCGATCCTCTTCTGGATCATCCAAATGCACTCTAGCAAACTTCAGACGGGCCTGGACATGTACTTGCTTAAGCAGGGGGACACGTCTGGCACTGCAGGATTTGAGTCTTGGCCATAGTGGAGTTTGGAGTGTGACTGTTTGAGGTTGTGGACAGGTGTCTTTTATACTGATAACAAGTTCAAACAGGTGCCATTAATACAGAATGCTTTTCCAACCGTCTTGAAGGAGTTCCCACATATGCTGAGCACTTGTTGGCTGCTTTTCCTTCACTCTGCGGTCCGACTCATCCCAAACCATCTCAATTGCATTGAGGTCGGGGCATTGTGGAGGCCAGGTCATTTGATGCAGCACTCCATCACTCTCCTTCTTGGTAAAATAGCCCTTACACAGCCTGGAGGTGTGTTGGGTCATTGTCCTGTTGAAAAACAAATGATAGTCCCACTATGCCCAAACCAGATGGGATGACGTATCACCACAGAATGCTATGGTAGCCATGCTGGTTAAGTGTGCCTTGAATTCTAAATAAATCACAGACAGTGTCACCAGCAAAGCACCCCCACACCATAACACCTCCTCTTCCATGCTTTATGGTGGGAAATACACATGCGGAGATCATCCGTTCACCCACACCGCGTCTCACAAAGACACGGCGGTTGGAACCAAAAATCTCAAATTTGGACTCCAGACCAAAGGACACATTTCCACCGGTCTAATGTCCATTGCTCGTGTTTCTTGGCCCAAGCAAGTCTCTTCTTCTGATTGGTGTCCTTTAGTAGTGGTTTCTTTGCAGCAATTCGACCATGAAGGCCTGATTCACACAGTTGATGTTGAGATGTGTCTACTTCAACTCTGTGAAGCATTTATTTGGGCTGCAATTTCTGAGGCTGGTAACTCTAATTAACTTATCCACTGCAGGAGAGGTAACTCTGGGTCTTCCATTCCTGTGGCAGTCCTCATGAGAGCCAGTTTCATCATAGCGCTTGATGGTTCTTGCGACTGCACTTGAAGAAACGTTCAAAGTTCTTGAAATGTACCGTATTGACTGCCCTTCATGTCTTAAAGTAATGATGGACTGTCGTTTCTCTTTGCTTATTTGAGCTGTTCTTGCCATAATATGGACTTACCAAATAGGGCTATCTTATGTATACCCCCCTACCTTGTCACAACACAACTGATTGGCTCAAACGCATTCAGAAGGAAAGAAATTCCACAAATTAACTTTTAAGAAGGCACACCTGTTAATTGAAATGAATTCCAGGTGACTACCTCATGAAGCTGGTTGAGAGAATGCCAAGATTGTACAAAGCTGTCATCAAGGCAAAGGGTGGCTATTTGAAGATGTTGGTTGTGATTGTTAACCTTCGTGTCGTTTACTCTATCTTTGTTATTGCTCTTGCTCATTGTTAAGTAAACCTTGACCTTGTTAATTCCTGCGTCTGCGTCCTGCCTCTTCGTATACTCAGTACGCGTCACAGAATCACACACCAAACGAAAATGGATACAGCAGGAGTTTCCCAGTGCCTCGACCAGCACCAGCAGCAGCTTGCCCAGTTGAACGCCGCCATGCAGGAAGTGCTCCAAACTCTGCATAATCTGCCCAGCGCTCCGGTTCCACCTCAGGGAGCGGCCAGTGCCCCCAATCCACCTGTTCCCGTGCTATCACCCACTCCTGCGGGAACCCTCGCCCTACCGGAGCGCTATGACAGTAAAACTACTAAATGTAGCGGCTTCCTGCTACAGGTTTCCCTTTATCTGGCGCGTCAGCCTGGGGCATATCCATCTGACCAAGCCAGGATAGCGTTGGTGATTTCACTTCTTAAAGGAAAGGAGCTGGATTGGGCCACGGCAGTCTGGGATGGAGAGGAGGCAGTGGCACTTCCCTACCCCACCTTCCTCGCTAGGTTCAGGGCAGTGTTTGATCATCCCACGGAGGGAAATGACGGGGGTGAGCATCTCCTCCATCTACAACAGAGAGAGGGGCCTGCGTCCAAGTACGCTCTGAGCTTCCGCATGGTGGCGGCGTCTTCCGGCTGGAATGAGCGTGCTCTGTGCACAGCCTTCAGGAGAGGCTTACGGGAGGACATCATGACGGAACTCGCATGTCGGGACGACGAGATGGACCTTGATACCCTCATCACCACGTCCATATATTGATGACATGTTGAGAGAGAGACAGCGTTCCCAACACCTCCCGGAGCCTCGACGCTCACCCCATCTGAGCTATGGAAGCCGCCCTGCTTCCGAGTCCTCACCCATGGAGGTGGGCAGCACCCCCTACACCACCACGGACCACAGATCTCCTGGTGGCTCCCTATCTAGGCGGTATGACTCCCGTCGCCGCTCCGTGAGTGTTACGTCAGCTCCTATCTCAAAACCATTGTTTTTAGTTCCCATAACGGTGACTGGTTATTCCTTCTCTTCCATTTCTACTGCAATGATAGATTCTGGATCAGCGGGGAACCTTATAGATAGGGAGCTGGTCTCTAAATGGGGGTTGCCCACCGTGCCACTGCCATCTACGCTACACGTCACCTCACTGGACAATAAACCCCTTGGATCAGGCACCATTACGCACGTCACTCTCCCCAATACCATCACCATTCCCACACTACCGGAGCACCACGAGGAGCTGTCATTCCACATCGTCACATCACCCCTTCACCGGATCGTCTTGGGATTGCCCTGGCTCAGACTACACAACCCCATCATCAATTGGAGCACCAAGAGGATCACAGCCTGGTCCACCTCATGCCGGAAGACCTGCCTGCCGGTGGTTTGTTGTTCCACGTCAGTGGAGAGTCCAGAGTCCGCCCTCCAGCCCAACATTCCACGTGAGTACGCAGATCTCTCCGATGTCTTCTCTTCATTAAAGGCTATGTGTCTCCCTCCTCACAGGCCCTGGGACTGCGCCATTGACCTGCTGGAGGGACAACACCCCGCGAAGAGTTGCATTTACCCCCTTTCCATGGCGGAGACTGAGGCCATGGAGAAGTATGTGGCAGAGACCCTGAAACAGGGGTTCATCAGACGCTCTACCTCTCCTGCCTCCGCCGGCTTCTTCTTCGTGGCCAAAAAAGATGGAGGACTGAGACCGTGCATTGACTACAGGTGGCTGAACGCAGTCACCACCAAGTACCGGTACCCCCTCCCTCTGGTTCCGTCGGCCATCGAGCAACTACGAGGCGCACGGTACTTTACCAAGTTGGACCTGAGGAGTGCCTAAAACCTGATCCGAATCCGGGAAGGAGACGAGTGGAAGACTGCATTCAGCACTACCACAGGCCACTATGAATACTGCGTCATGCCCTACGGCCTCGCCAACGCACCTTCTGTGTTCCAGTCCTTCGTCAATGATGTGTTCCGGGACATGCTGAGTAGACAGGTGGTGGTGTACATCAACAATATCCTGATCTACTCGGCTACGTTCGAGGAGCACGTCAGGGACGTCCGAGCTGTCCTACTCCGCCTCCGGGAACACAGCCTGTTGGTGAAGGGGGAGAAATGTGAATTGTCACGTCTCCTCCCGTTGCTCCCCTCCGGCACTCTGATTCGCCGGTCTACTGAGCCACCAGTCTGAGCACACCACCTCGGCAACACCGGAATGGAAACCCAACGCACCCTAATCACCTCCAGCGCACCTGCACCTCATCATCTCATCACCACCCCTATTTAGCCCTGGACTGCCTCTTCGTATACTCAGTACGCGTCACACATTTACACACACACACACACATTTACACACCCACACACACGCTCGGAGGGGTGAAGGAACATCACTTTGAGACATCATCTCTTTGTTTTCAGAGTGAATAATTTATCGAAGCATCAGCATCACTTTTGCCCACTGCATAATACTAGAATGTTATTAATATAGATGTCTTCTGACTTGTCTGACAGAGAAATGCTCTTTATACCTACAGTTTCTCAGTAAGACACACTCTACCGCCAGATATCCATTCTCAGGGTATTGTTCATTAGGGCATGCCATGGAAAATGTTTCAAAACATTTTTCAATGGAAAATGAAAATGTGTGTTTCTTATTGGACAAGTCTAGGTAATTATTCCGTTTGATCCCTAATTAACACAACCCAGGGTATCAAGGCACTCAATAGCCCCAACTCATCCACAGACATCTCTCTTTATGCTGTTTGTCTTAGAACAACTTACCTCAACCAGCATGTAAAGGGAGAGCATAGTCACAGAGAAGTTGTACACTAGTAAAACACCCTTGAGTGAGTACGCTGGCCTGTTCCTCATGAATTTTGGTCCCAGGTATACTATGAGGAGGTAGACGATGGTGAAGGAGAGGGTGGGGAGGTACGAGTCCAACAGAAACCATCCTCGTACTCTGGAGTCTAAGGAAGGGAAAGAGAACACAGTGAACGATCACCGCTGGTATCATCATCCAATCACATCTTATTATTACAACATTGAAACCATGACTGTTCACCGCTGGTATCATCATCCAATCACATCTTATTATTACACCATTGAAACCATGACTGCTCAACCTGTCATAGGCAATAATTAAGCAATAAGGCACGAGGAGGTGTGGTATATGGCCAATATACGGCCAATATACCACGGCTAAGGGCTGTTCTTAAGCACGATGCAACGTGGAGTGCCTGGATACAGCCCTTAGCCATGGTATATTGGCCATATACCACAAACCCCCGAGGTGCCTTATTGCTATTATAAATTGGTTACCAACGTAATTAGAGCAGTAAAAATAAATGTTTTGTTGTCAGCCAATCAGCATTCAGGGCTCGACCCACCCAGTTTATAATATCTAATATTGCACTCTATTTGAACTGATTATAAACATATATAGTCTGTTGTTAATATGTTTGTTATATGATTACATACCCTTATAGTAGCCTAGTTAAATGGTTTATAACTAAATCCAAGAAAAATCTATAAAGGAAAGCAAGACTGTTGACTAATTGTTAACTAACTGAAATGTAAATAGAGTAGTGTTTATACATGATCATAAACGTCCTACACATGATCTACAGTGCCTTCGGAAAGTATTTAGACCCCTTGACTTTTTCCATATTTTGTTACGTTACAGCCTTATTCTAAAATTGATTAAATAAAAATCCTCAGCAGTCTACATACAATACCCCATAATGACAAAGCAAAAACAGGTGGTCACTCTGACCGAGCTCTAGAGTTCCTCTGTGGAGATGGGAGAACCTTCCAGAAGGACAACCATCTCTGCAGCACTCCACCAATCAGGCCTTTACGGTAGAGTGGCCAGCTGGAAGCCACTCCTCAGTAAAAGGCACATGACAGCCCGTTTGGAGTTTGCCAAAAGGCACTTATAGACTCTCAGACCATGAGAAACAAGATTCTCTGGTCTGATGAAACCAAGATTGAACTCTTTGGCCTGAATGCCAAGAGTCACATCTGGAGGAAACCTGGCACCATCCCTACAGTGAAGCATGGTGGTGGCAGCATCATGTTGTGGGGATGTTTTTCAGCGGCAGGGACTGGGAGACTAGTCAGGATTGAGGCAAAAATGAATGGAGCAAAGTACAGAGAGATCCTTGATGAAAATCTGCTCCAGAGCGCTCAGGACCTCAGACTGGGGCGAAGGTTCACCTTCCAACAGGACAACGACCCTAAGCACACAGCCAAGACAACGCAGAGTGGCTTCGGGACAGGTCTCTGAATGTCCTTGAGTGGCCCAGCCAGAGCCTGGACTTGAACCTGATCGAACATCTCTGGAAAGACCTGAAAATAGCTGTGAAGCAATGCTCCCCATCCAACCTGACAGAGCTTGAGAGTATCTGCAGAGAAGAATGGGAGAAACTCCCCAAATACAGGTGTGCCAAGCTTGTAGTGTCATACCCAAGAAAACTCAAGGCTGTAATTGCTGCCAAAGGTGCTTCAACAAAGTACTGAGTAAAGGGTCTGAATACTTATGTTAAATGTATTATTTCTGTTTTTAATTTTTCATACATTTGCAAAAATGTCTACAAACCTCTTTTTGCTTTGTCATTATGCGGTATTGTGTGTAGATCGATGAGAAAAACAAAACAATTTAATCAATTTTAGAATAAGGCTGTAAAGTAACAAAATGTGGAAAAGGTCAAGGGGTCTGAATACTTTCCGAATGCACTGTATGT